GGAATGGGGGTGCGGCGAGCAGTTCGCGCGACAGGGGGGCCGCCGGGGGGAGCGAAAGATGTCGGTGGTGGACCCTCAATAAAAGATTCGAGTCCAGGTTCTCGTCCTGGTGCTATATCCCCGGTTCCCTGCTGGTTCTTCTCCTGCTGGCCAAAATCCCTCGCAGGACCCGTGTTCCCGAGGCCGCGTCGCCACCGGCGCCGTGGGCCGTGTCGTCGCGGCGGTCAGCAGAGCCTAACCCGAGGTCCTGAGTGCCAGCCTGAGGGTGTGGGCACCACGGAGGAGCGCTGAACCTTTTCTGCAGGAGGGAAACTGAGGCATGGGGGGTGTCTATGCTGCCGGTAGTGGAACCAGACAGACCCTGCAGCACCTTCCCGACTGCCCTGCTTTATCTCAAGGGAGCGGGCAACGCTCCTGGAGGATGGGGGAGCCCCCAGGCCGTCCCAGGCTGATGCTCGCAGGATGCAGCCGGCCCTCCCCACCTTGGCTTTGCTTTTTTCTTCGCCGCAAGGCCGAGGATTTCCCCCGCCGCCGTGGGCCTTGCGGACAAAGGGAGCTCCTTCCCTTGCAGCGCGGCAGCCCCTGCCCTCTCGGGCCGGCTCTGCGCAACGGCCGGGCGGGGAACCGGGAGACAGGACGACAGCGGAGCCGTGGTCCCCTGGGGTGGCCACCTCTTCCCCTGCTCCCTCCATCCTCAGAAACCCGAGTGATGCCCGTTCCCCTCCTGGGGTTTACGGGGTGGAGTGGGATGACGCAGGGCGCCTTCCCCGCGATCCGTCGCTCCCCAGCCCCGGTGGTCCTAGCTGACCGTGCCCCAATGCCGGGGATCCTGCAGGAGCCCATGCGGGGTCCGTGGCCACCTTGAGCGATGCCGTGAGCTCCCTTGTCCCGAGGGGACGGATGTGCGTCGCGTGGGACGCGGGTCAGCACAGGAGACGCCCAGGTCTAGGTGATGTACGCCCCCCCGGGGACGTCGCAGCTCCAACCGAGCGTCTGCTGGGCGGGCTCGCTTGGTCCCTGCGGCTCGAGGGTCCCCAGCTGCCCCCCGGCAGCCGGGGAGAGGAGAGCTGCTGGACGGGGAGGCCGAGTTGTCTTCCTCCAACAGTAATAAGTTGGGAGCTGCTTCAGGGAGAGGAGAGAAACGTGCTCCGGTACCTGCCTACGTCCCCGTCACTGCTGTCCTCACTCTCCCACCTTGGGGCTCGCAGCCCTGCTCGCCATTGAATGTCCTTTAGTTACAGCCCTGGATGAGCTCCCTTTGCCCCCCCAGAGGAAAGTCCTGGGCTCTCCATAAATCCGAGCCGCTGACTGGCCTTCGCTTTGCTGGGCCGTATTTGAGCTCTCTGGGGAGAGAGGCAGGCAGTTCACAGCCTTTCTGGGCCGCTGCGGGTCTGCGTTTTGGTGGGAACACAGCTGAGATGACTCCATCCCTGTTTGGCCGCAAGCATCAGCCTGGAGGCTTTGCAGCCCTCCCGCTCATCTGGAGCAGAGAAGAACCGCGCTGGCCGACTTAGGCTGGGGATGGATGAAGCCAACGGAGGAATCCCATGTTGCTATTTGTGGAAGGGACTGAAATGTTGCCGGCTGCGAAGGCCGTGTTTTGGAGCCCACTGGCTTAGCCGGGCCATGTCTGGGGGGGAGAGGGGACATTCCCTTGCTGCTGTAACGCCATCGAGGCCCCGGCTTTGTACCAGGGTGCAGCTTGACCCCGGCTCTGGTTGTCGATGCTGACCCTGAAATGCTGACACAACACATAGTTTCTCCTTAATAGGGCATGGAAAAGGCGATGCACGTCAGGGCCAGGCTTTTTGCTAATGCTCTGTCTTTCCCTTTATATGATGCAGAAATATGTTGGCTCAGCCCCTCCTGGGTGAACTCAGCCCAAAAGAAAGAAGATCCTGGGCAGATATTTCCTGCTTTGTGAACGGCTCCTAGCCTGCGCTGTATGGTGGTCCCAAGCAGGAAACCAGCACATGGCAGAGGAGTGGATTTTGTTAAAGTCAGGAGGGCCTTTTCATTAAAAAAAAAAATGTTTGAGACACCCTGGTTCATAAGCTCCTGGGCTTGGCATGCAGATGTCCTCTGCTGCTGGCCACCCCTGCAATGTCAGTGTCTGACCATCTGATGTTAGCCTGGAGCAAGGACCGCAAATGCAGATGTTGACATCTGGCCAGATGACTCCCCCCCAACTCGGCACAGTGCTGCTGTGGCCAGGGCTGGGACCGTGGGTTCCCCAAGTGCTGCCCCAGCCCCCGGCCCCTTCATGAGCTGGGCCCTGTCTTTCAAGCAGGACATTCCCGCCTGGCCCTGTCCCCATCCCCATGCCACAACTCCCTGCCTTCTCCTTGGTGCTCGCAGGCGGCCATTGAGCTGGGCTGGAGCAGGGAAACGAGTAGGGCTTTAAATAACCTCCCCTAAAATACATGTGTGTTTGTGTTGGACCATTTCTGGGAGCTGGTTCACAGCCGGGCTCCTGAATCAGCAGGATGGGAGGGGGCTGGGGGGAGCAAGGGGCAGGCAGGGGTGAGGGAGGAAAGAGGAGAGCTCCTATAAGCCTCTTTGCCGCCAGGGAAAATGCAATACTGACGCCAGGCTGGAAGAAGCAGCAGCTCTTCCTCGGAGCTGAGATTTCTCCTGCCTCAGCTCATGTCTGAGATGAGCAGGGGCATGTCTGATGGACAGGGGGAGAGCTCACGAGTGCACCTGCTCTCGCTTGGGTCTGGTATGGAAATGCTTTCTTGGTCAGTCCCATAGTCCATCCAGCTGGATTAGGGATGACTGAGGCAAGTCTCTGATTTCAGTATTTTCTTGTAAGGTGGCTGCCCCATCCCCTTTTCCTACCTCCTCTAAATCCCCAGTCTCCTCAACCCAAGGGGCAGCTCTACCCTGGCTCCATGTGGCCGAATGGCCCCAGCTCCTCTGGAGGATGAGGCTGAGTGGGTATCTCCGAGGGGTCAGGTCAGAAACTGCGGGGTGGAACAAACTGCAGCCTTAGATGAGAAAAAGATACAGGACCAGGGGAGACAGTGACGGTGCAGTGCAACAGGGTCAGAGTCGCTGGGTTAGCAGCTGTCACAGCATCTCTCAGAGCTGGGGTCAGGGTGGCTGGTTACCTTCAGGGTGTTTCAGACCCCACCAGTTCATTGCATGTACAGCCTTGGATACAGGAGGCAATTTCTTCAGCTTTAGGACGGGCCCAGCCAGCACCTTTCCCATCTGGACATGGGCTGGCTTTGCCTCACTGTGCCCAGGGGATTTCTAAAGCAGGTGGGGATGGTAATAGTCCAGGTGATACTGGCAGAGAAAAGAATCCAGGAGCTGACACAGTGCCTAAGAGGTATCTCTGTCCATGCTACAAAAGTGCAGTCTGAGCCCTGGACCCCCAGCACTCTCCGGCTCCATCCCTTGTCAACCCAGCCTGGCTTCAGCCTCAATCCCCACGGCAGAGACCAGGAGGAAGCCGATGGAGCTGTGGCTTCAAATTTTGGTCAAGAGGAAGTCCCTGTTGGGACCAGCATTGCAGGATGCCAAGGACAGGAGTTGTAACCGGTACTCAAAGAGCATGGAGATGAAAGGGGAGAGGGAGCTGGGGCCACCAGAGAGACAAGTGAGATCAGAGTGGTGTTTTTGCAGCTCAGAAAGGACCAGAGGGAGGAGAAGGAGCCAGCTGAAGGCAGGAGAGTCAGGTATGATGTTTGGACACACCAGGTATGGGAAGAAGGTGTGTACACTGATGAAGCCTCCCAGCAAGGGGTGACACAAGTCATTCACCAGCATCTGCCTTTGCAAATGGGACTGCGGGTCCTGGCATCGTCCAGCAGCTCCGGACAGGCTCTGTCTCGCCGGCATCTCAGCCATCCCTGAAGTCCTGGACAAATAAATCCCTGGGGAAGAAGGGAGGAGGGAGATGCGGGGAGAATGAAGCCTTTTCCTATTCTGGAAAGCGTCTGACATCTAGTGGCAGAATAGTCCTTTCCCAGGCAAAGAAGAGAGCTGCTTCCTCGGAGCACTGCTGCCTCCCTGCTCCCCCCCATGGGCCATGCTGGGGGTGGGGGTTTGAAGGTGGGTGTGTTACCAGCACTGTACTCGTCATACTGGTATTCCCCGCACAGCTCACCTGGCTAGGTCTGAAGTAGGCAACAAAACGGTCCCAAGACCATCCCCAGGCCCTGAAATGCCATCATTGAGGCACTGACATTGTTAATGGGGCCCTGGGTGGGTTTGGCCCAGCCACTAGCACCCTACTGAGAAGGATTCAGGAGGTAGCACGGGCCAAGGACCTTCTCAGTGGTTGTCTGCACATGGCTACCCTGTCCTTGGGAGAGAGCGTAAGCAGCTGGAGAAGGGCTGAGCTGTGCCAGATGCCCTGACAACCTTCTCCGGGGTGGATCCAGGGTGGGTGGCTGAGCTCTCACTCCGCTCTTCATCCTTGCTTCGAGGGCTGGTGCCAGGTCCAGAGCAGAGGCATCTGCTCCACTTGCGGTTCCTGGAGTGACACTCTTTGCAGTCCAGTGTGTTTATGGGAACCCGGCCTTTACTTATTGACTTTGAGCAGGCAAGCCAGAAAATGGAGGCAGTCCAGGAGGTGGCTGCCAGGCAGACTAGCCCTTGCTGCCATGGTGGTGGCAAGCTCTCTTGGTGGGGAGATGGGGACTGGTCACTGGTCTACCATCTAATTTCAAACCACTACCAGCCCTATCCTGTGATCTGCTGCTGTCACCTACCTACAAACATGAGAGCAGCTGTACTGGCTCAGAAGAAATTTAGTCCAGGATTTCTGTCCATGGCCAAAAACCCAGAGAAAACTGAAACTGTGGCAAAGGTGTCTGTATCAAACGCAGCACTCACTGCCTTCATCTAGTTTTCATGGGATGACCGTGAACAGTCAGTCCCTGCCCATCTTTTCTAGGCCTCTGTGGGTTGGTAGATCTTGGCCACATTTAATCTTTCCCAGCCTGCTCAGCTTTCTTCATACGGAGGATATTTCGGACCTGTGGCCACCTTACTGCCCTGCTCTGACCCTTTCCCTGTTCTTCTCTACCCTTTTGGAGATGGAGGACCAGACGCGCCCAGCGTTCACAATACAGGGGCACCAGAGATTTACTTATAGAAATGATGAGCTCCGATTTCTTCTTTCTTTTTTGATAGTTCCTAACATTTGGTTTGTTCTTTCGCCCACCTCTGAGCGTGGAGGTGGCACTGTCTATGTAGCCCCCACTTTCTGTCCTGGTAGTGATCAGCTCAAGGCCCTTCACTGGACACATGAATTGAGGAGGAGGTAGGGGGGACACTCCCCCAGTGCCTTCCTCTGTATATCTTTCTACCACATTTAATTTGGCTCTTATAGTTCCCAGTCATTCAGACTCAGGTCTTCACACTCTTCCAACCCTGGAAATTTGACAGCGTTGGCAAACCCAGGCATCTGCCCGCTCTGTCCCTTTCCAGGTTGCTTATGAAGCTGTTGAAGAGCGCGCGCGCCCTGAGGCGTCCGTGCCAGGACCTCTCCGTAGAGCAAGAAGCGCCCAACGCTCCCAGGCTCGCCTCCGGCCGCTCAGCTCCTGCCAAAAGCGCTGGTGAGGCCTTCGAAAGAAACCTTAGAGGGAAACAAATACACTTATTTCAATCCGTTCACCCTTAACCACCTCTCTGCCGCCTCCCTGCTGGGAGCTTTGTTGACGCTTCCCAACCCAACCGCACTCACCCACTAACCCGTAGGTATTTTTATGTACTAATTCTACCCATTATTATCTTTTCTACTAATTTGCCCAGCCCAACCAAAGGCCTATCATCCCCTCCCTCCCTTAAAGCCCCCCCCTTTTTTTTTTTTTTAAATTTGGAGTCGTAT